GAAACATTCGGCCAATGATTTGTATGGCTTGCCAAAGGCATGCCAGGACACCATTGATCTAGTCCTGACTTGTCTTGATGCCGAGCGAATCATCCAGAAAACCTCAGACCCAGGATTGAAAGCAAGGTTCCAGCACATACGAGAAGCTCGTGTCCTTGGGTTTGAAGTCGACCCATACACTGATATTGATGCAGCCGACCTTCCTTTCTCAATGGAGGACCTTCAGTATTTACGATATCACTTTGAAGTATTCTCGGCTGTTTCGCTCTTCGGCTTTACGACCGATGAAATAGCACGTGTTGCACGTCTGGATGCTTATCTCGACACTAGGGATGCCCGGCTACACTACCAGGAGCAGGTCCTGACCCCGAGTACACTGTCGATCTCAACCTCACATGGGGTAGGTACGCAGAACCAACAAGTTGCCGAAGCAGCACCACAGGATCAAACCATCGAAGAAGGAACAGAAGAGGCTCGTTGTCCAACCTTGACAGCAGAGTCCGCGGTTGCCGACCAGACAAGAGATGAAGCTAGTGAGGAGGGTCCTAACCCGATGGGCCGTCAGTCCTGGATAACATGGAAATCAGTATGGTCCATGTGTTACCCGCTGATTTTCAATCAAGCACGACCCAACCGAACTTCCTCGATGGTGACGTAGTCGCCGAAGAAGCCGGCCATGTTGATTTTGTAACTGTTGCTGAAGTTGATTCAACGACAAAAGATGACAGTCTAAAGGCGGCTTTGGCCGAATTGTTTCCTTGTTCATCATCGGCCAAACTTCGCCATTTAAAGCCTTTGTATGTGACGGCCCATATCGAGGGGTATCCAGTTTCTAAAGTTTTCGTCGACTGTGGAGCCACCGTCAATATCATGCCTCTAAGCATCATGAAAGCCTTACGTCGCTCGAATGACGAACTTATTCCGTCAGGGATCACAATGAGTAGTTTCGTCGGCGACAAATCTCAAACCAAAGGTGTACTTCCGTTAACTGTAAACATTGCTGGTCGCACTCACATGACCGTCTTTTTCGTGGTTGATTCCAAAACCGAGTATAATGCACTGCTCGGTCGAGACTGGATTCATCAAACCAGCTGTATTCCTTCATCATTGTATCAAGTGCTTGTATTTTGGGACGGCAACTCGGTCACTGTTCACCCGGCCGATAGCCAGCCCTTCGAAGCTAACATGATCCAAGCACGGTATTATGATGACCACGTCGGCTACATTACATTGCAAGGCTTCAATGAAGAAGGACGGCCGACTCGGATTTCGGTTCAGAAAGCTATCAAGGTTGGCGCCGAGACTGTTCAGCAGGATTCGGCGAGACTCGGATTAGCCAATTTCCTCCCCGAAGCTGATGTTTGACACCGATCGGGAAACACGTAGGGCCGCGGTTTCATCTGCTATGGAACGACTGCTGGCCCATTGGTATACTATATCCAAACAACCAAATTCGGGCGTTAATCTCGTTGAGTTCCTTGCTGAAGGAGATAATGGTCCTGTCTTGTCTCTTGATAAAATTCGAGCCGCCCCGGCCGAACTCGAAGATCATCGGCCCCAAGTTAAGGACCCCTTGGAAGAGATTAATGTTGGGACGGTCGATGATCCACGACCTTTGTTTATTAGTGCGTTACTTCCCCAACAAATGAAAGACGAACTTCGTGCCTTGCTTACAGAGTTCAAAGATTGTTTTGCTTGGAGCTACCATGAAATGCCCGGCTTGGATCGCACTCTTGTCGAACATGAATTACGTATTAAGCCCGGATGCAAACCTTTCCGGCAACCACCTCGTCGATTCTCGACCGAAGTACAACTCGGCATCAAGGACGAACTGGTTCAACTTTTGAAAGCCGGGTTCATTCGGACAGCTCGATATGTGGAATGGTTGGCGAATATCGTTCCTGTCTTAAAGAAGAATGGTGCACTGCGCATCTGCATCGATTTCAGGAATCTGAATCTGGCAACTCCCAAAGATGAATATACAATGCCGATTTCAGATCTATTAATCGATGCCGCGGTGAATCATGCGATCTTATCCTTTATGGATGGACACGCCGGGTACAACCAAATTTTCATTGCTGAAGCCGATGTGCACAAAACTGCTTTCCGCTGCCCGGGGCACTCGGCACTTACGAATGGGTTGTTATGCCATTTGGCCTCAAAAATGCCGGCGCCACATACCAACGGGCGATGAACACCATATTTCATGACTTAATTGGAACCACCGTCGAAGTCTATATTGACGATGTTGTGATTAAATCCAAACAACGGCGAACTCATGTGGATGATCTCCGACAGGCTTTCCTTCGTATGCGTCAACACAATCTCAAAATGAATCCTGCTAAATGTGCATTTGGTGTGTCGGCCGGTAATTTTCTCGGTTTCCTGGTACATCACCGTGGGATTGAAGTGGACGAAAATAAAGCACGTGCAATCATCAATGCTCCACCACCGACTACGAAGAAACAGCTGCAGTCCTTACTCGGCAAGATAAATTTTCTTCGCCGATTTATAGCTAACTCGGCAGGAAAAATGAAAGCATTTTCCACGCTTTTGAAACTTAAGGACTCGGATACGTTTGCATGGACGACCGAGCATCAGGCGACGTTTACACAAATTAAAGTCTCCCTCACAACGCCGCCTGTTCTTGTTCCACCTCGGCGCGGTAAACCCCTCAAACTATATATTTCGGCGGCTGAAGAGTCCATCGGCTGCCTCCTGGCCCAGGACAATGATGCCGGGCGAGAGCAGGCTATTTTTTACCTCAGTCGAAATCTTAATCCACCGGAGATCAATTATTTCACCGTGGAGAAGCTCTGTCTTGCCGTGTTCTTCGCCGCCTCCAAACTCCGGCATTACATGCTTCCGTCGGTCACACAAGTCATTGCCCAGACTGACGTCATCCGGTACATGCTTACCCGGCCAATCGTAAAAGGGAGAATTGGGAAGTGGACGATGGCGTTGTCCAAGTTTAGCCTACAATACGTGCCTCAGAAAGCTGTCAAAGGCCAAGCATTGGCCGATTTCCTGGCTCACCATCCTTCCCCCTATGGTTTTGGGGACACCGATGTCGAAATCAGCATGGTTGAAACACGCGACAACTATTGGACGATGTATTTTGACGGGTCCAGTACTTCATCCTCGGCCGGCGTTGGAGTTGTCATTCAATCTCCTAATCACGATCGTTGGTATTTTTCGCTTAAGTTGGATTTTGACTGCACCAATAATCAGGCCGAATATGAAGCCTTAATCATCGGCCTCGGCCTCCTTCATGATTTGCGGGCCACTCGTGCCCTCGTCCTCGGCGACTCTGAGCTTGTGATTAACCAACTTAATGGATCTTTTCGCTGCATGAGTTGTACCCTGGCACCCTACCACATGGTTGCCAGCTATTTGGCCGAGTCCTTCGACGGTATTACGTTCTCACATGTTTCCCGGATCCATAATACCGACACAGATGAGTTGGCTCAAATTGCCTCTGGTGCACAACTCCTGGGGGGCAAGCTAGGCCGAGAAATACCGGTGTTACGACAATTATACCCGGCTTTGGTCAACCAGCAGATCCTCCGTCGCGACGATGTAATACGCACTCGAGTCATGTCTTTACCTTTGTTGTTAGACCGACAAGATACTATAGAGGTTTGCACCGTCGGGACAACACCAGATGATTGGAGAAAGCCCATTATGCAGTACCTTGACAATTCCAATGGAAAACATAGTCGCAAGACACGAGGCCACGCCACGAACTATGTCACGTACCAAAACGAGTTATACCGAAAAGGGAAGGATGGATTGCTACTGTTATGTCTCAGTCCCCAAGAGGGTGCTCAGGCGATCTCGGAAGTCCATGAAGGGGTTTGCGGAGCTCATCAATCTGGACGGAAAATGCGATGGCTACTTCGACGACACGGTTATTTTTGGCCAAGGATACTAAAGGATTGTATCGAGTTTGCACGAGGATGCGTACAATGCCAAATCCACGGGCCTATACAAAGGGTCCCGGCCGAATCATTGCATTCGGTCATAAAGCCATGGCCGTTTAGAGGATGGGCCATGGATGTAATCGGCACAATCACGCCATCTTCGGGAGCTGCTAAGCACGCATGGATAATAGTTGCAACCGACTACTTTACTAAGTGGGTCGAGGCGAAATCATATGCCGAACTAACATCTAAAGAAGTTTGCGACTTCGTGGAGGAACACATCGTGACCAGATTTGGCGTACCAGAAACGATCATAACTGACAATGGAACAATCTTCACAGCTGAGAGGTTTAAAGAGTATACGACAAATTTAAAAATTCGGCTCGAACAGTCTACACCGTATTACCCACAGGCGAATGGGCAGGCCGAGGCAAGTAATAAAGTGTTGATCGGCATCCTCGAAAAAATAATAAAAGAAAGGCCTGACATGTGGCATTTGAAGTTGAACGAGGCATTATGGGCATACCGAACGACGCCCCGGTCGGCGACCGCGACAACCCCATACGCATTAACCTACGGACACGATGCAATGTTACCAGTCGAGTTAAGCATAAATTCGTTGCGATTAATTGAACAAAGTAGTTTGTTTAGCGCCGAATACAATCAGTCCATGAGACAAGAATTAGAAGATTTGGAAGAAGTGCGACTTGACGCTTATAACTTACTGGTGGCACAGAAATGGATTGCCGAACGAGCATACAATCAAAAGGTGCGACGGAAAACATTCGGTGAAGGCGAATTGGTTTGGCAAACGGTGTTACCTGTAGGACTAAAAGACCCTAGGTTCGGCAAATGGTCACCAAATTGGGAAGGACCGTTCGTTGTACATAAGGTATACGGAAAAGGGCCGTATCATCTTCAAGACCGGACCGGTTCAGTTCACAAATTACCAATCAACGGGAAGTTTTTGAAAAAGTACTACGCGGTAACGTGGGAAATGCGAGAATAAACAAAACCATCTCATTAAGATTGATGAGCATGTACAAGCTAAGTCAGTCAGGGCAAAACTAAGTACATTCAAGGGGAAAAAGGTAAAAGGGTGCTGAGAAGGGCCTTCAATTCCAACCACCGCACCTCGGCCATGATAACTTCAGCTTGCCGATTTTTCTTGTCCAGCTTCAACCGCTCGACCCGCTTTGTTGTCGTCGCGTACTCAGTTAGGCGATCCTTTCCGCCCGACTCGAAGTCTCTAGCAAGCTCGGACGCGATAGGCGACCGACGTTTTGCTAGTTCGGCCATCTGACGGTCGAGCTCGGCTAATACTTCTCCTTTTGCCCTTAGAGGGTCGATTTTCGGATGGAGAGTGTCTCGAACGGCCGTGGCAGCTTGCAGGTCCTGTTCGACCTTTAGAGCGGTCTGGAAGACACTAAATGTCTCCCGAACCTGCTCCAAGGTAGACGATGCCCGAACGATGGCATCTCCGCTCAGGCGACCGTCGGCCCCAAGATCGTTTAGACACACGCCAAGCAGATCAAGACCGTTGCGCTCGAGCACTTACGGCGCTGAAAGCGACAGAACTTCTCGCAGCTGGGTTAGAGCGGTTGGATCGGCAACCTCAGTCGGAGCAGCCGAAGGGCCGGACTCGGCAGTTGTGCTAGAGAGGAAGGCTTTGAATTCGACCTCCCATGAAGCCTGCACATACAAATCAGTTTAGGCTTAAAGGAAGTCAGGGCAAGAATAGCAAGAAGGTTTCGTTTTTTAACCTGCCGAGAGGAGACCTCGGCCATGTCCCCAGGATCGTTGCTCGAACCTAAAGAACTCAATGGCCGAGCCCAGTGTCTCAGATGGCTTCTCAGTTCACGCAGCCGATGGGGGTTATCTACGTTTGATGGCCACTGAGGCGGCCAAGAAATATAGATAACGCCCTTCGGCGCGTAGAATTATCGGTGAAAAGAATGTACAGGCACCTGACATTTAGTATTTTCTTCGTTTAGAATTCTAAAGCGGAAAAGCAATCAAGGAAAGACGGTGGAAGATACTTACGAAGGCCGAAGTAGCCTCCTGCGGAGGAATGTGGAAGCCCTGGTCTTGAGGATGGACGGGCGATTCCGCCGTTGCCTCGGGTTCCTCGACTGGTCGTTTGCCACGGTCGGTTGTGGAGGGGCCGACCGGGACAGCTGCTTCTGAGGAAGGAACACCCTGGTCCTGAGAAGGAGCAAGGGGTTCGGACACCGCCGTTGGTTCCTCGACCGGACGCTTGCCACGATCGGCCGTAGAGGGGCCGGCTTGAACCGCCATCTCGGACACTGGAGGAGGTTGTTGGCGAGTATGAGGACGATGTCTTCTGTGGGACGCAGAAACCGCCTTCTGTGGGACAGATGCCTCATCGACGGAGGGAGGCACGACTGGTGTGTCGGCCCCAGAGACAGGCCGCGCTTGAACTATCTCTGCGACCGAAGCTGGCGGTTTCTCCACCAAGGAATGGCCGGCGGCGGGAGAACGGGAAGCACTGGGAGTCGTCGTCCCTGTAGTATGACTGGATATGACGTGGATCTCTCGTGCACCTTTCTTCGCCAGTTTCTTTACCCACTTGGCAGGCGGGGGAGACTCGACAGCCGGCTCGGCCTCTGGGCGAGGCCGTTTGATCAGCACGGCCCGACCAGCAGTTTTGTCCTTCTTGGCCACGACCGATTTTTTCTCGGCCGTAGCAGCGGCAACTGCATCCGCTTTTCTTGAAGGACGACTACCTGAAAAGATGAAAGCAATTCAGCAAGGCAAATCAGTATGCAGAGTTGAAAGAAAAGAGGAGAAATGAACAATTACCTTGAGATTGGGGGGCTGAGGCCTTCTTAGGTCGGTCACCGAAGAGTTTGTTCAGCATCTTTTCGACCGGAGCACCAAAGAACTCCTGGGTGTAATTTTCCCACCATTCACCGAAGGTGTCGGTGCAAAGGGTTTCTGGGGTGGCCGGTCGAAGGTGGAATTTTTGGCAGTACTCTTGGAACTCCCTCGCGGCAGTTCTACATTCCTTCTCCGAGGAACGAGGTTCACGTCCACGGCTTAGGACTGTTCGGGAGGAGAGAAGCGGAACAGGGCAGCCCTGAAGATAGCCGAACTGTCAGGCAAGGAAGTTCGGATGGTACACTTCCCAACCCGACCGTTTCCCATCGCAGCCGAGAGGGAGGTCGCGAGCGAGCACAAACGACCCCCAAGTCTGACGAAGCTCGACATCCTCCTCCGCGCCCCACACAGAGGTAGGTAGTCTGATGGAGGAAGGATAGTCCCGACGACGACATATTAAGAATTCGTCGTTGGAGAGATCATCAAGAGCGAAGAGGTACCGAAATACCTCTTCGGCTTGGTGAGGAGGTGTCGGTCGGGAGGCCAGCTGAGGTCCAAGAGCCTCCATTGGCGAGAAATCAGCTATGGCCGGCCGAAGGGAGGCGAAGTACACTTGTAACCAGAGCTGGAAGACCTAGAGGGCACCATTCTGGTGTGGGTCGACCTTGTGGAGGGTCGCCTCGGCTAGGCAACGGAAGAGATGGGCGAGGATGTTGGAACTCAGTGCCAGGACGTGACCACTAGCCAGGGCTTCGGCTACCGGCATGTTCTCGACCAAACACTTGTTCGACTTGGTACAACAAATGTATTTGTTGTACCAATAGAAGAGGAAGGCTTCATGCTCTCCCTCTCGCAGGTCCTCTTCTCCTCAGCCGGCGAAGTGAAGATAGAGGGTGTTGTAATTAAAGAAGTTCTTGTGGAGCTTCTGAATGTCTTCTTTCGACGGGATTTGACCGTCACGGTTCAAGGTCTCAAAGGCTCGTCGATCAAAAAACGTCTTCAGATCAATATTCGACGGGTGCCCAGAGAGGGCCGCGTCGATAGGCATCCCGGTTGCCGAAGTCCCCAGAATGGCGGTGACATCAAGGATGGTGGGACCGATGGGACCAAGAGGAAGAACCAGGGTGTTGGTGGCCGAGCACCAGAAGCACAAGGCGGCTAGGAGAAGCTCCTTGTCGAGAATGACATCCATTGACGAGAGAAGGATGGCGTCGTAAATGCCGATGGCTCTCCATTGCTCGCCGAAGAGCCGTTCCATTCGAACAACCCAGGCTGCCCAGGTTGTGGTCGTCGAGGGCCAGGAGCCTTGGGGTTTCGCCGCATCCCATCTCGACCATTCAAACCCTTGGAACAAGGGTGTTAGGCAGTGCTCCTGGAGAAGGCCAGTAATGGTCGACGGTATTGTAGCCTTGAAGAGAGGACCCAAGATTTGGTGGACAGTGCTCATGTCACTTTCAAACCGTATGGTTTTGATCGAGCTCCGATCAAGGATTTTCTGGTGCTGTTCACATTCCCTGGAAAGCTTGGAGATGAAAGACGCCATTATAGGAAGGAAGCACGGCGTAAAAGGTTTTCTGGGTTGGGGGATTTGAAGACGAAGACTTGGAAAAAGAAATGTGCTGGAGAAGAGGGGCAAGAGATTTCAGAAAATTTTGAGAGCGTAAAGTGCAAATGAGAGAATTTCGGTATTTATAGAAGTTGTGGAGGGAAGAGCAATCGTTCGAAATTCAAAACAAAGGGCAAAATCGACCGAAGGAATCGTTGATCATGATGAACATTTGGGAAATGCAGTTGAGAAGACTGAAGGTTTCAGGTTTTGGAGGCGCACGATCGCGTGTGATGGCGAAATTAATGGCGGAAGACGTTTCGACGCTTGCACGATGACAGGTGGACTCACGGATTGAGGTAGTAGCTCGCGAATTGAGGTAGTGGTTAAGTTGACGGTTCAGGCAGCCGCACGCCTTAGACGTCATCATTGGGGTTGGCCGTGTTGGAGGACGCCACGTGGCGAGTTTGGTTAGCAGGATCAAGATCGTGCAATCATGTTCAATAAATGCGCCTTGGAACTCGGGCATTAGGGTTCTGAGTGGTAGATTCGTTTCTTCAAGGCCGAAACTCGGCCAAAGAATTCAGGCCGAGGACCTCAGAAGCGAGGGGGCAATGTTTGGGCCCAAAATAATAGTTTGGGCCGAGGGTAAGATCACTCTCGGCCCGGGAGGCCGTGCAGCGAAAAGGCCATGGATCGTTCAGCTCATGGGCTTCCAAGCCTAGGTCGGTTAAATCAGAACGCAAGCCGAGTCCTAGTACAATAGGGACTCTCGACGGGATCAGTAATCCAGAAAGCGAATCCGGCTCAGTTAAGGACTAGATTCGTAGTCCTAGTGGAGATAGGATTGGTCGAGGTGATGTTGATCCAGAGAGGGAAACCTAGTCCGAATAGGATTGTAACTCGGGCTCGAGGACCAGCGCTATAAATAGGGGAAGCTGTGCATTAAGGAAGGCTCTCTGCAAATCAATACAAAATTGCCCTGCGCAAATTCTCACAACTTGTGATTTTTCTTTTTCCTTTTTCGCTGACACATCTTCCGTTGGCATCAACAGCACTGTGGAAGCAACCGGTGATATCTTAAGTCGGCATAGATAGCTTTGTCACCGTAGAGTCAGTTGGTCTCGCAGTATCTTCCGTTGGCATCAACAGCACTGCGGCGAGAACGATTGATTACCTATCCAAGTCTCGGTCGAGAAGGGTTTCTAAATCCTTATTGGTCGAGGTCATCTCATCAGCCTTCTCGGCGAAGTGAGGTGTTACAGTTATTACATTCGGCACGTTGAAAGCTGAATTTGATATTGAACTTCGTAAGAATAGTAACCTTGTCTTCAGGTTCGAGAGCCCAAGAGGCCGAGACGTGTTCCTTTCTCGGCCGCAATCGCAAGACGCATAAGTCAGTAGCGCAACCCAACGCAACATCAACAAATTTACTCCTCGGCCGAATGACGTAGTTAGCTTATAGATTACTCGGCCTGCGCGCCACGTAGGCTTTGTAGTTTCTAGGGTCAACAGCTAGTAAGCCCCATTTCCTAATAATTGATTGACTTAGTTTCTATGACAACTAGATCCGGAAGATGGAACTACAAACTAGCAAATTGTAAACTTTCATAAAGTAAATGGCAACAGGTGTGGAGTTTTTTATTAGAATTGTTTTATACATGTTCGGACTATGGTGACGGATTAAAATACATGACTACGGGTGTTGCGGGTCTTTATATAAAAATAAGACTTTCATAACATGTGAATTCAAGAACTTAAAGTCTCAATCATGCGTGTTACCTACTGTACCAAATAAAATAGGTATAAAAGACAATAATATAATTGTGCAGGTGTCAAGTATAACTAACGATCCGTTCACACCCATGACTACGGGTGTTGCGGGTCTTTATTTAAAAATTAAAATTAAGACTTCCATAACATGTGAATTCAAGAACTTAAGGGCCTGCTTGGTACTCTACTTGAATTCAATTTTTTAAGCTCAAAAACAATTTTCAAGTTTTAGGCCTTAAAAACTTGTTTGGTAGGATTATTTTCAAAAACTGAACTTAAGATTAATTCAAAAATATAGTTTGTTCTCTAAAAACATAAAAAGTGAGTTTTTAGAGTTTTTAAACTTAAACTCACTCATTTCTTTTCTCTCCCTCCTCCCTTCTCACTCCAAATCTATCTCTTTTCTTCTTTCTCTCTCCTCTTTTTTATTTTTTTTATTTTTTTAACCTTTTTAGTCTCTTCTCCAATCCGTTTCTTCATTCTCTTGGTTCTTTCTCTCAATTCTCTTCCTCTCTACCTAGTCTGATCCTCTCTCTTCTTTCTCTTTCCTTCAATCATCTCTTAATTTCTTTCATCCTCTCTTCTCTTTCTCCCTCTCCTGTAACCCCCTTTTTTAGATCTCTTTGTCTAGTTTAAGTCGTAAGATTTAAAAATTTTAAATCGCAAACCAATCAAGTTTTTGAGTTTTAAAGAAAATTGTTTTCAAGAAATGTTTTTAAGAAATGTTTTGAGAAATGATAAAAAAAATTCAAATAGGATATCAAACAGGCCCTAAAAGTCTCAATCATGCGTGTTACCTACCGTACCAAATAAAATTGGTATAAAAGACAATAATATAATTGTGCAGGTGTCAAGTATAACTAACGATCCGTTCGCACCCATGGCTTGTTTTGTACAAAGGAATGGATAACTCCCTAATCTCAACGGCAGTTGAGAGGAGAAATGGAAATATTATGACCAACTAGAGGGTGGAAGATGAATTGCAAATGAGCTTATAACAAAACACGGCATCAAAGTGACTGGTTATATAAAAAATTAACCAAGTGGGAGAGAGATTCGCTTTCACTCTTTGTTGAGGAAAAATTAAAGGTGATCTAAACTCTCAGGTTAGTAGCTAGGGCAAGCCCCACCCCTACGTGTGAGTAGCAAAATCATCTTGAAACCACAAACTGATAGTATTAGGTCTGTTTCTTTTACCTTTTGTTTATAAATGGCAGTAATAGGTTGGCTTCACAGCGGTAATTTATTCTCTTAGAGAAACTTGAAGTGCGACTAAATGAACGATTGATCATATTGAGCATATGAACATGGCTGATTTTACTTGGTTCTGATCGATACCCAACTTCATTCCTTCGGCCAACGGAGTAGACACTGGCTTGCACGCCGTCATACCAGTTTCTTCCAACAGGTCAAGAACATACTTCTATTGTGATAGAACTATCCCGGACTTGCATCTCGACACTTCAATCCCAAGGAAATATTTCAAAGAACCAAGATCTTTCATTTTAAATTCTGTGGACAAATAATTTTTCAAGGCTGCTTGCTCAATAGGATCATTGCCAGTAACAACTATATCATCTACATATACGATGAGAGCTGTAACCTTTCCGTTCTGGCGTTTCAGGAATAATGTGTGATCCCAATTACTTTGCCTATACCCGAATGCTCTCATAGACTTGGTAAATCTACCAAACCAGGCTCTCGGAGACTGCTTCAACCCATATAATGATTTCTTGAGCCTACATACCTTTTGTTTCCGTATGTCCATATCATTACACCTTGGTGGAAGGTCCATGTAAATCTCCTCAGTTAGATCTCAATGGAGGAATTCATTTTTTACATCGAACTGTTGCAAAGGCCAATCTAGATTTGCTGCTAAGGATAGTAGAACACGAACTGTATTGATCTTTGCCATTGGGGCGAACGTATCAATGTAGTCAATGCCATATTTTTGTGTATACCCTTTGCCACCAGTCGTGCTTTAAAGTGATCTACCATTCCATCTGCTTTGTATTTCACTGTATTAACCCATTCGCATCCCACATATTTCTTTCTGGCTGGCAAGTCAGTTATTTCCCAGGTAGCATTCTTCTTCAACGATCTTAATTCCTTGTTCATTGCATCTTTCCAGCGGGAATCTGCTAAAGCCTCATGCACACTGTTAGGAATAAATACAGTAGATAATTGATATACAAATGACTTATTTGATTATGACAGGTGACAGGTAGACACATAACTGTTTAATGGGT